GTGACGCACTGATACAGTGACGCAGTGCTGCAGTGCTCTGTGACGCACTGATACAGTGAGGCAGTGCTCTGTGACGCAGTGCGTCAGTGACGCGGTGCTCTGTGATATAGTGACACATTGCTACAGTGACGCAGTGCTCTGTGATGTAGTGACACAGTGATACAGTGACGCAGTGACACAGTGATGCAGTGACAGTGATGCAGTGACACAGTGCTCTGTGATGCAGTGAAGCAGTGCTCTGTGACGCAGTGACACAGTGAAGCAGTGCTCTGTGACGCAGTGACACAGTGAAGCAGTGCTCTGTGACGCAGTGACACAGTGAAGCAGTGCTCTGTGACGCAGTGATACAGTGATGTAGTGCAGAGCACTGCCAGTCCATGTGCCCTGCTCACCTGTTGTTTGCGACTTTGTGCTCCCTCATCAAGTCCACCTCCTGCTTGGCCTTCTCCAGCAGGGCCTGCTTGTTCTCAAACTCCGACGACTTCATGTAATTGTCGATGCTCTGGTACTGTGCGTCCGAGAAGCGGGCAAGCGACAGGAAGGCCTGCATCTTCCCGCTCTGCAGCAGGGCGTCGGTGCCGCCCATGTGGTCCTCAATCACCTCCACTGCCTGCCAGACACACAGCGCATCCACACGATGACGACGACGGCAGCTGCTGTGACACAGTGGCACGGCCAGGACTCGGTGTCACTGTGTCACAGGGCACTGCGCCAATGACAAACACGGGACGAGACCGCTAGACTCCCAGTAAATGAAAGAAAGCATCACCCTCTCCAGGTAGTTCTCCAGGATGACACCAGGACTCTCGAGGCAGGATTCGGCCAGCCAGTTTCCACTCAGCCTCAGACAATCCGCGTACATGGGTGCCAGGCTGGGGTTGAAGTCCACCTGCCGCAGGGAGGGAACAGCAACACAAATGCTCAGGAGGCTCCAGGCACAGGAACTACAAATCTACCCCACATTACAAATTACACTACATGATTAAAAGCAGGGCCTTCTAACCATCTGGACAACGTTTAAGAGAACCAAAGGCTACAAAAACATTTTTAAGAAGTCATTCGCTCTGAGTGCCATTATGCTTTTAAACTCTGACGTATGAGCCCCTTCAGAGCACGGTACTGACAGCATCAATGGGTACGTCACACTTGAATCTGGTTTTCATTGCATCGATATTTCAACTGAACTGGGTCTTTGATGTCCTCGATATTACACTGTTTTTATTGTCTCAGCGATGCTAAAGGACAATTTCCACTGTATGTGGACAATAAAATAAGGGTCTGACTCTAATGACGCAGAAATGATATTTTTGCATTTCAGAGGTGTAGAAATTGATGAAATGCCCTGTGAGACAGGGCCAGGTGTGCTGCGCTCACCTCATCGCCCAGTGTCTTGATCAGCTGTCTCAGGATGCCCAGAGCCAAGCTCTGCTCCCGTTTTGCCCAGAACACCTGGGCCTCCTCCAGCTGCCACAGCGCCATGCCCGCCCTGGCGCTGCTGTCCTGCTTGATCCGCACCATGGCGCGCTCTGCCAGCTGCAGACACACACACGGCCCACAGGGGTCAGCACTCAGCACACCCTTCATTCAACACGGGCTGCTGTCCCGCACTGCCACCGCGCTCCACCCAGAGTTTCACAGAAATGGGCTGGATTTTTACTGTACTTCTGTGCACAACACAATCTAATTCAGAATCGGAGAAAGCAAAGGAACTTACACCTGAAGGCGTGCATGTCTTTTGTTCTCTTTACTTGCCCCTTCTACGCAGCACTGCCCATTTGAATTCAGTATTCCCGCTCTGGCCTTGGCTCAGAAAGCAGCAGGGATCGGAGCCCAGAACAGCGTACCTGTGTGTTCCCAGAAGCCCTGGCCAGTTTGGAGAGCTCCAGGAGCTGCGATGTGAGGGCACTGTGCAGAATCTCCTTCCGCTCGTTCTCCTTCTCCTGCTCCAGCAGGGTCTTGTGTACAGCTGTCCGCAGGGCCATGATGGGCTCCTGGAAGCTGAAGTCACTGTCCGCAAGGAGCTGGGAGTGTCGCTCCCAGTTCCTGAACACCTCTCCCAGCTCCTGAGCTGTCCCAAGGCTGCAGAGAGGAGAACACGCAGCCTGACTGCACCCCTGCCTGCAGCCATCACTCACCTCGACACAGAGGCAACGGCTTAAGGGCACAGACGCATGATGTACAACATATTTACTTTACAGACTATCGTTTCATTACTAATTTTATTAAATATAAATAAGTTAAGCAAAGAGCACAACTAACGAGAAGCTACAGTAGTTCTCCTGAAATGACTTCAGCCAGCAGGAATTTCACTTATCAGCTCTTCCTTTCATAGGAACTATGACTTGCTTTCATAGGAACTGAGGAACACTCCATGCACTTTGGCAAAGTTTAATTCCTGGCAGACTTTTATATCTAATTAGTTGAATGATTGGACCTGACTGAATCACCTGGCGAGCACCTGCCCCACGCTCTCCAGCTCACTGATCCTCTGCAGGTTACACAGGGCGGGGTAGAGAGAGGACACTGCCTCCAGACTGCCCCGGCACAGCTCTCCCACCTCGGACTCCCTGCAAACACACCAGGACACCAGCAGGTGAGGAACAAAGACAGAAACAGGATTACAGACACAAAAGCCAAAGTCATAAAAATCAGGGACAAGGACAGAATTTCAAGTCAGTTTCTACCTGGCATCTTTCAGGATTTGGCTGAAAGCAGAAAACTCTTTGTCCCTTAAAGCCTGCAGCGTGCAGTACACTGACTCATGGAAACCAGGGCCAGTCTTATCGTTCCTGAAATAGAGAAACACTTATAAAAGCGGCTCCTCTACAGTCATCTACAGATCCTCAACATGCAAAGTTTCAGACCCCTGACCTGTGAAACAAAACGCACGCTGTCTACAGCTGGTCTATGAGCAATGCAATCAGACTGCAGCGGGCTGTGTGTCACCCACCTCTCCGAAGGCACACAGTCCCACTGCGTGTTCCTCCAGGCTGCCTGGAAGCTCATCTCCTGCAGCTCTGCACTCGCCTCCACGCTCTCTCTGTCAAGCCCGCGCAGGAACGTCAGCAGTGTGCTGCTCAGACCGCAGTTCTGCAGAGCCTGGGAGAGACAACAGCACACATCGCACACTGCACCCCACCGGCTCCTAACGATCGCAAGAACAGCAACATTTATTTCATGCAGGCAGCTGCGTCAGCATGCGTAGGCTGCAAAGAAACAAGTAGAGGTTTATTCCGTGCTGAAAAGAGAAGAAAGGAGACACAACGGGTGCCAGAGAACCGAGCACCGAGCACACCCAAAAGAAGGCTCCACAGCCGAAACACTGCGTTTCCTTTCTTTTCCTTTCAGCATAGAATAAACCTCTCTACTTGTTCCTTTACTTTTATTTCATAATGTTTTTCTTTTCTTACGGTTTGTTAGTTACAGCTGCTGGACATGACCATGCTTAGCAGGATGGATGTGCAGGAACAGGCTGAAAGCCATGAGGAAGGACTGGATAGCCGTCCCTGGGGAAGCACGCGGCGGCTAGGCAAACCCCATTACCTGGATTATTCCCACCTGCCGCGTCACCTCGGGCAGGTTAGCGTGCAGGTCGTAGGAGGCGAGAGCTTTGCCCCAGAGAGCTTCGTGTTCATAGGTCCTGATCCTGTAAATAACAGTTGTTTATTACATTTCCTAAAGGAACACACAAAAAAATATTTGACTTTCATACCCATGAAGCTGGCACCCCACACTAACCTAGACAGACCCCCCCAGCGGCAGGGAGGTGAACACACGGCGCTGGGGCGCGGGTGGTTACCTGGTGAGAAGATGGAGCATCCTCCCCCCTCCACAGCCATACAGACTGTCCGGCTCCCCGATGCTTCTGTACACGTCAGTGAGGAGGTCCTGCAGGAGGCACCACAGTAAACCCTGGCCCGCTGTCTGCGGCGCGAACCGAGCTGGGCTAGTCCCACGCCTGTCCCTGCCTCTCACCTGCAGGCTAACGCCAGATTCCTCCCGGCTCTTCTCACTCAGGCTGGCGATGGTACAGCTCTGGCTGGGCTCTTCGAACTGGATTCTCCGAGCAGCCCCCGACACAGCCCTGCCGGGAGAGGCGAGCGCCAGGAATAAGAGCCGGCGGACAGGAAGGGCTGTTCCTCCGCCTCGGTCACCAGCCGAGAAGACAAAAATCCACAGGTACTAAAACAATTTAGCGATCAGCTGGAGTTCAGGTTCGGTGTGTGTAAATGCTGCACTTGCTCTTCTCAGTGGCGTTATCATCTAACGAGATTAAAGAGGAAAACCACAACCATTTGTCTGCGTGGTTTCTGCCTGCACTGTACCTGCTGCTCTCCTCCCTGTCCAACTGGATCTTGTCCACGTAGATCTCGGCGTACAGCAGGGCGGTGAAGGGAGCAGAGCAGCACTGGGCGGCCTGGGCCAGCATCACGTAGTCCAGCTCCAGCCAGAAGTTCGAGTCACGCACGGTCCCATAGGCGGGGCCGCTGCCACGCAAGACAAACCTCGTTAGGAGAGGATGCCCGACGAGTAGGGCAAAGAGAAACCTGAACGATCAGCTACTTCACCAACCCCTCTCTCTCGACAGGCCTCTTCTGCCGCCTCAGGTAATCGATGACGGCGAGCATGGTCCGCAAAGACAGCTTATCCACGAGCCCTGGGCTTGGGCTCTCCGGCTCTGTCGGCAACACGGATTCAACCCGTTAGGTCGGAACCTCTACGCCAAACAACCATTTAGAGACCATCACTTACAGGCTTCGGTTATACCCTGAGAATCCGGACCTGCGGAAATGAACGAGTCTGGCGCACTGGAATGATGTGCCAGTAAATGGCTATAACTGAAAACCGAATATACGTGTTCAGATGACGCGGCCATTCTGCTCGTCTCTCTGATCTGTGTGGAGGCTCGTCCACAGCCGCGCGATGCTCACCGGAGTCGCTGGGCGCCGGCGTGGTGGACCTGCTGGACACAGCCGCGGCCGAGAAGGAGGCGAAGAAGGCCTGGACGTGTCCGGACAGCAGGCCCCTCCAGGAGCCGTCGGAGTCATGCAGCAGGATGTCGTGGATGAAGAGGGGCAGGACCAGCTGGCAGAAATCCGTCTTCACCTGGGACAGCACAGACAGCAATCGCAAGGTCCCGAGCGCGAGCAGTGTCTTCACTCCTCTGTTGATTTACTATTAGGACTAACTTTGAGAATTTGACTTTTTATAGACCCAACTATAGAGCTGGGTGTTTGAATGAAACAGTTCGAGTGAAATACAACAAGGTCTCACCCTGCTCTGCTTTAAAACAACCACTAACGTCTTCTCCAGACTTAAAACTAAAATCAAATATCACTCCATTTTTTATTCAAGACCGTTACTTATATATTGTTTTTGATTTAAAATGTGAAAAGGTCAGTATAAGGTATTCTTGTTCTTGTTCGGGTATTCTTGTTCTTTATGTGTGTGCTTGAAGGTAACCCGGGCATGCTCGAGAGAGAGGAGTGACCCCCCACCTGACACAGGGGTCCCGTGAGCAGCAGCACCTCGCTCCTCACGCCCCCGCTGTCCAGCAGCGCCGTGCACAGCGTCCTCAGCCAGTCGTCATGGTGACCACGCCCCGGGACCCACAGCTCGGCGCTGTCCAGCTCCTCGCCCGACCCAGCCCTGCGCTCCACCTCCAGGAACTGCACGGGACACAGAGCCACACCAGCCCAGCCCGTCAGCCACGGAGCGAGCAATACTGCACGCATCCCGCATGCTGCAGGACCTGACCAGCGTTCATTCTGAATTCACAAACACATGCTGTACCAGGAATAACTGAAAGCTGGGAATAACCGTATCAGAAATGGTCGCTGTGCCACGTGTGGAAATACTTCATATAGTTCGAATGCAAAAGCTTCTAAACACTCTTTCACTGCAGTAACAGAAAGTGGTCAGAGCTCTTATTATAAACTATAAAACCTTCCTGAAAAAATGCTTGGATTCGGAGCACCATGGAGGATACAGCTTGTGTGTCTTCTTTGCTGTTCTCTGGCAAATAGCCTTTCGGTAACAAATCAAACTCATTTCAAACCTCCGCTGAGCTGCGCCGTGACGACGCAGTAAGAGCGAAGCCCTGGCAGTGCCAGTGTTCAGAGGGCAGCTTTGTCACCACAGCCCTTCTCCAATCCCTCTGGGACCCGAGCGCAGCCACTGCTTACCTTCTTTTTCGGTGGCCTGAAAGGATGGAGGTAGACAAGCAGGGGGTCGTTGCTGTTGCGGTGCTGCTCCCAGAACCGGCCCCCGGACTGAGTGGCTAACATGTTCTTCAGGCACAAGGCGGCCGCAGACCGCACCTCGATCCTGCGCAGACGGGCGCTGTCAGAACTCCCTCCCTCATGTTTTCATCCCAACAACAGCAAAACAGACTCTCGTACAAGGCTTTCAACACTAACGTGCCTTCTCTTTTTAACACCATCAAGAGCCTTTCAGTACAACAGCTTGACCACACAGTTCTAATATACGGATTATCTGTAATATTACACTCATTTCATATATTGGAGCGGAGCAAGCTACTATCACTTTCTGGTCCCTACAAAGATCTGCATGATCAGAATATCATCAATGTCCTAAGCAACATAAAAATAAATTTGGCAGCGGTGTTGAACATGCCTGTCCTCTGTCCAAGTGCAGCTTATGGAGTGGATGTCCCAGATTCAGAGCAATCGTAACTAAATCTTTTGCTTTCAACGCCACAGGCAATAACTAACAGGAAAACAACAGCCTCCACAAACGTGCAGCTCAAAGCGGTTATTGTCGTAGAGCAGAACATCACCTTTGGTCAGTCAGTGCGCTGTTGGCAGTGTTGAAAATGATGAAGATCCACTGGAGCTCTTTGTCTGGGAAGAGCTCCTGGGCTCGGCAGCGGAGCGTGTCCTTGTGGAGCAGGGAGATGGTGGAGAAGTTCACAGGGCCCAGCTCTCCCAGGCAGGCTCCGGCAGCCTCTGTGCAGAAGGAACACCAACAGGCTTGTGAGCTGCAGAGCAAGACCCTGTCCTTCTTCTGGAAGAAGTCAGAGGCTGCTCCTACCTAAAACATGGTTCCCTCCGGAATGGCTCATGGCCAGCTTGCACAGCTGAAGCAGGCTCATGACCAGCTTCGCCAAAACGCTGTTCGCCGGGTTGTCTGGAACACAGAAAGAGGGATGACGCCGAGTTTGAGAATCATGCACCGCTGAGTCCCTGTCCCTCCAGATCAGAGGTCTCAACCCTGGTCCTGGAGACCCTTCATCCAGCAGGTTCCGGCAGTCGCCATTAAATCACCAATTCCTAATGACAAGGAACAATTCTTTTCTAACCAAGAAGAGGTGATTTCTTAAATTAAACAATTTAGAGATCATTTATTAGCAACATCTAAGAATAGTTCAGCCCCCAAGGACCAAAGATCTCTTAACCGTGCAGATCATTTGCCTGAATTATCAGTAGATGTTGCCAATCTTTAAAAACACGCTGCCCATACGACTAGCTGGATTGGGGCTGCCCGAGACCCCAGTTTTACAGTGCATTACCTTGGCACTCCTTCAGGAGTGCTGCCAGCTGCTCTTTACGCCTCTGAAACTGCCTCGTCAAGTCCTTCAGCCCCTCGAGCCTCGTCAGAGGAAGAGAGTCACACGGCGACACCGAGAGAAAATGATCTATCTCCTGCAAGAGGGACAGGCAGCGCAGTCAAACAGAAGCACACATCGCACAGAGCACAAGACAGGTCGATACTGTCCATAAATGTACAAAACACACAAGCAGAACATGACAATCACATAAAGTCACACGAACTACATGAAATCACAGCAGCAGTATGGGATACATAAATAAATAGGTGGTGGGGGAAATACATTTACACACATTCAGTGAGCAGTTTTATTGCAGAGGGGACAAAGGACTTCTTATACATGTTTTTATGTGAATTTGGTACCCTATACCGTCTCCCTGATGGGAGTATTGTGAATTGATCATGGACTTTGAGTGTGGAATCAGGTGTGATGTTCCTTGCTAATCTGATAACTGTATCATGGTATAAGTCGCTAAGCTGGTGCTGCTGTTCCCCCAATTATTTTTCCTGCCATTTTCACAATCCTGGACAGTTTGGTTTTGCTTTTCAAACCCCAGGTTTCCATACCGAACTGTCATATTAAAACGCACTGTGGAATTAAATTGAAAGTACATTAAAAGCACTTTGATCTGCTTCTCCCTAATGATACAACAGGAGGAGGGGAGAGAACACTGCACTGCACTGCAGCTCCCGCGGCTGGGAAGCTCCCCAAGGCACCTCTCTCAGGGTGAAGGCTCCCCGGCTGTACTTGAGCTGCTGCTGCACCGCCCTCAGCTCTCGGAAGGCAGGCCTGTCTGGAAAGGGCTCCAGCAGTGGGATCGCTCTCTGCAGGTGCTCGTTGTCCTGATTTGTCACCACGAGGAACTCCAGCAGATTCAGAACCTGCTGGATCGAAGACGCAGAATGAGAAGCACGACCACCGGTTAACAAATTACAGTGCCATGCCAGAGCATCGACTGGATTTCCGAGGAGATGTGTGGGGCGACAACCTGAACACCTCAGATTGGCACAAAGAGAAGACCGCGGCGACAGCCCCCTCCCTCAGCTCCTCACCTGCTGGCTGACTGTGGGCTGGCTGGCGACCAGCGTGGTGAGAGTCCCCACGATGACCTGCAGGTGGCTCTCCAGAGCATCGCCGCAGAACTGTACCGCCGTCTGGCACACGGCACCCAGCAGGTCACAGCACAGAGAGAAGCTGCGAGCCGTCACTTCGTCCAGCTGGGCAGGCCTGTGTCCAGGCGAGGACATGCAGAGAGACACACAGGGCATTGTCCATTTGCTTGTGGAGAGAGACACTGACTAAAACAAACCACGAGAGGAAACTAAAGGGTTAGCATGATAATATCACAGTGCTTGTTTGGTTTGAGAACGTTCCTGACAAGCACAATGTATTTATTTTATATTGTTATAGGTTTGCCCATACAGAGTGGCCATTCTACAGCGTGTCGCACTGTTAGCACACTGCGGGTGCTGTAAAGGGCTCATTCCACATGAAATCAATAAAACACCGCCTGGCCTTGACTTAACCGCTTTTAACAAAAAGATTCCAGTACTACTTGCCCTTGGAGAAATAGTCAGACTGACTGCTGGACCTGCATGGCCAACCATCCAAGACACAGACATCCCCGTCCTCACCACAGATACGCACAGGAGCTGATTAACAGGGTTGCCAAACACATTTACATAATCAGTGTTAAATATCAGTTCTGAAAATTAGGACACCTCTTGACCTATTTTTTCATTCTTACGTGATGTAGCTTAGACCCTTGCAGTCCAACCATTTCCACCACGAGCGAATTCTTGTGGAAACTTCTGTTAGGTTATGAAGGAGTGAAGTCGACAGGCGGCTGGTTTCACGCAGAATGACCCCACGGCCTGCTCTTCTCTGCCCGCGTGCCCACGGCAGCCCGGCAGGTCCTGACCCCTGACCCCTGACCCCTGACCTGCGGCCGAGGAAGTGGATGAGCGTGTAGATGACGTCTCTCAGCACGAAAGCCCAGGCGCCGCCCAGCCCATCCTTCACTTCCTGCAGCAGCATCTTCACGAACAACCAGTACATCAGCAGGATCCGGTGTTTCTCGTAGGCGTTGCTCGTGTCCGACGCCTTCTTGCAAATAGCCAGGAGGATCTTCTGGATCGAAATCTGCAAAAAAAGAGCAGGGAGTGTGCCCGCTGCCAATAACACCTGATTGAATCTAAAACAAAATGACTAACTTTATTAACCCTAGGTCATTCTCATAATTACAGTTCCAGTTTGACACTCAACAGTATGACACGAAAACTCAGAGAGTAATATTTCACAACCAGCACTGGGGGAGAAACTCACGGGATTCTTGGACAGTATTGCCACCAGAGTCTTGTTGGTGCTGCTGTGGCACCTGCTGAGGTAGTCCAGCGTGGCTTTTATCACATACGAACTGAAGTAGGGGGGGTTAGGAGCAGGATCCAGTTCCCTTAACAAAACAAAAAGATTAAACACAAACACGGGAAGCTTCTGCAAAGCATTTGAACAAAATACTGCCATTCATCAAACACCTTTCATTCCCTAGGCCTTTTTTCCAAATGATCTCTTATGTTTATATTACACTGTACTTGAAGAACCTAGAAAAACACATGTCTCCATCAAAAGAAAGACTCCAACAACACTGTCCTAATTAACGTCTGCAATGGGACACTTGTATTTACCCGATAAACCTGCTCAGCTCTCCCCTCTCTCCGGCCTCTTCGTTGCCGTTCTCATACAGCGTCATTAGCAGCTCCACCACGATCTCCGACAGGTTGCTGTGGATCAAGCTGTCAATTCTCTGCAGGACACAGACAGGGTCATGTGTAGCAGCAGCGTGGAACAGGAAGTGCATGTCATGTGACCCGGCCCTGGCCCCGCCCCCTGCCCCACCTGCTTTCCCAGGCAGTCGCTGCCCTTCAGCAGCTCGTACACCCTGGAGGCCTTCTCCCTCTGCTGCGCCGTGTGAGCATCCTGCCCCGGCAGCGCGAAGAAGGGCAGGATGTTCACCATGATCTTGGGGAAGCAGTCGGCCAGCAGCTCCTTCCAGTCCTTCTCGATCTGCCTTCCGATGGCCTTCACCTGGTCAAACTCATCCAGGAAGACCAGGTGCGGGACGAGGACATGGTAGCATGAGCTGAATCGCAGCAATGCAGGGGTTAATGACGACAATTCATTTGTACATTTTCCATGTGCACAAGTTTAAAAAATAAGACTTTACAAAATCAGGTTCATATTCTACAGAAATTGATTCTTCATGTATTCCTCATATGGAAGAGCTGGACCTGTGAGTGCTGATCTACCCAGGGTAACTAAGAGTGCTGTAAGGAAAATGACAATACTCAACAGCTAGCGATGGCAAGTGCCCTGTTCTAACTCCGTGTCAGATTTTACTGCAGGTCCGTGACCAGAACACAACAGCGACTTCAAGCACGGTTTCCCATGTGACCCTGCAAGGGGTTCACAATGCTTCTTCCAGTCCCGTTTCAAAGACTCTGACTCGAGAGACTCAAGAGAGCCCGGGAGCTGTCTGGTGATCGGCGCATCGTTGCAACACGGGTCTCAACACGCACCACAGAGCCAGCAGACATCCGGTCTCTTCCAGACCTGGCACACACAACCTTCCCCACTAATGCCAGGTTCATAGATACTGTTGCATTTTAGGTATTAAGTAATTTGCCCTCGATAAATTACAGCCAGATATGACAAATCCACTTTTAAACTGTCAGCATTCAGCTACAGCTCTTAGGCTGGCGCATGCAGTCCCTGTGCTCCAGGGAGCCTTCACTCTGAAGGAGGGGGAGAGCTGGCAGAGTGCAGGTACCTGTAGAAGTCCTGCAGGGAAGAGCAGTTCAGCAGCACGTAGGGGAAGGCGGGCAGGCTGTACTCCGTTCTCTCTTGCCCAAGCCACTCGACAATGAGATAGTGCAAATGCGAACTCACGAAGCTCTCAGTGCTCCGGCAGCTCACCTTCTTCGAAACAGCTTCCAGGACCTACAAAGCCATACAGATCAGATATCCACCAGATTTTTAATTTGACATATCAAACTTACGAATTATAAGTTTGTTGGTGAGAGTGATATTCAGTATTGGACTGTCCTAGTGTCCAATGAGTTAGTGTTCTTGGTGTTCTTCTCTAGCTGTTGTGAAATCTACAGATACAGGATTTATTTTGGTTTAGACAAAAAAAGCTGTGGTGCCAGGTGTCAATGTGCATGTTTTTCTGACCGTCCAGTGCTAAGATCTCACCTTTTTAATGAGCTGCGCCTCCACTGCATTCTCCTTGTGAGACTGGAAAAGCGCAAACAGGGCCTGCTTCTCACAGACAGGACTGCAGCACATGACCACAGAGATGGTCTTCAGCAGGGTGGCTTTGTGGTTCAATTTGCCATCCTGGACCTCTTCAGACGCACAGTCTCTCTGGAACACACACACAGGAGACTGCAGACAAGAAACAGGGCTGCACAAGAACTACTCTTCTGTGGGTTACAAGAAATCTGTCTGTCTTATTAAGAGAGACCTCTCCCAAAAGCCTATTTCTCCAGGATCTCTCACAGGAGGCTAATGTAAGAGGATCCCCCACTCTCACAGCCTCCCAAGAAGACACACAAAGAACACCAAATCCAATATGAAATGCATAATGGTAGGCATTAGCTATAATTCAAAACCCTACCTGAATTTTAATTCCCTCTTGTGCTTTTAGATACACATTTTCAAAGGCACTCTGCTGGATTTTCAAAGGAAGCATTCTTCTCTTGCCATGACTGTGCCTCTCAGTCTCCTGAAACAGTCTAAAAAAGGAAGAAGACGTCAATTTTGTATATTTCAGTCTCAGGTCAGTAAGATTTTGTAGCTTCAAATGAAATCCTGCCGCATGCCAGTCTGACTGGACTGAGTAACGGCTCCACGGCCTCCTGCAGTACAGACCTGTCCAACGACATGGCCGCCAGCATGCGCACGTGGTGGTGGGCGTCGGCCAGGTAGAGTGGCAGGGCGGCGGCCACAGACAGCTCCTCCTCCTCCATTGAAAGGACCGCCCACTGGCAGCGGGGGTCTGCCTGCCCATAATGAACAGCGATGGCAAATCAGAGGGAGCAGAGACCGAGGCAGAGGGGGGCAGACACCCCACCAGAGCTGCTTTACTGCTTGTATCCCTTTATCAAGAAGCACAAGGCACGATTAATAATGAACACTACTCGTTGCACGTAATCTTTATGAAACCCAGTTTCTATGTTTCTGAAAAAACATTCTGCCAAACTGCAATTTGTTAATCTGCTCTGAAGTAAAAGTGTTTTACCTTCTGGTTACAAAACTGAACATAAAAGCAAAGCCTCTCAAGATCTTCTATTTCCTCTTGAGAGTAATGGATCACCGGAAAAAGAAAAACTTCTTTTGCTCTTCCGCTCCTGCGGGATAACCAGCAAAGCCCCAGTCCAGATGCTTGACCTGCTGCAGAATAAAAGCTCCACTCCAGACTCACCTCCAGCAAGGCAACCAGGCACTTCACCACCGCAGCCCTCACCGACGCTGTGCACCTTCCAGCCTTTCCAAGGAAGCTGAAAGGACACCGCTTTCATTAACTGTGCCATCGTCAGTAACCTCGGCCCACACAGGACAGCAACACGCATAACGGCCCAATTTACTGACCAGCGCCTTTCAAGTCTCACAACCGCATGCACAAAACACACTCACACTACTCACATGAAGTTCAGTCCCCAGGTAAGCAGACGTATGAATGAATCATGACACAAGCGTGCATTATAGGGCCTAGTAAACAGACAGGTCTTAGAGCCCACAGGCTCTCCAGACACGGTGCTGCACACGAGAGCCTCTGTGGCCAACCTCACATCAAGCACTGCGAAACGCACAAAGACACTTGCCAGAATCCCGACACCACTCGGAGCACGGCACCCTGCGCCCCGGCCTGCTCGTCGACCTGCGTCCCGGCCCGGCTCAGGCTCCGGATGGTGGGCAGGAGGCTGAGCAGGATGGCGGTGCAGACCTCCTGGTCCCGGCGGTAGAGAGAGCACAAGTCCCTGCCGAGCACAGCGAAGATCAGCTCCAGAGCCTCTCTACCAGCACATTCTAGCTGCTGTCACTGTTCTGGCTTCTCGAGGCAAAAACCTACTGCAGGGCTCCTCCTCTCACACCTGAGCCAGAGCCCTGCTGGCAAGAAGAGACTCGCGGGCCTCACCTCAGGGGCCTCAGGAGGGAGCTGAAGTCCTCGGCGCTCAGAGACGTGTCCTCGGCTGGAAGCTCTCTCAGCAGCGTCAGGTACTGACAAACCAAGACATTTCCCCCTCTTATACACAGTGAGCTTCACCACAGAAAGTCAAACATCACCGAATAAGGCCAGGCTGCCCTGTCATTCTCATTTCTGCATTCAGGTGGGATCATTCCTTTGTGAAATTTGAATTTTTCCAACAGCTTTTTTAAGAACGACTGACAGCTCCTGGACTGTGAAGGAACAGGTAGAGGCTCGTTCCACAGCCACAGCCATCAGCGCGGGAATGACACCTGAAGAAGCCGCACAGCCGAAACGCTGCGTTTCTCTTCCTCACCCTTCATTGCAGAGCAAACCTGTACCTGCTCCCCTGTCCTCTCTCCGCGGCCGCGCGGCTCACCGTGCTCAGGTGCAGAGGCTTGGCGAAATCCATCGCCTCCAAGTGCAGCAGCAGCTTCCTCCTGACGTCGGCCGGCCGGAAGGAAAGCCCGGGAACGGCCTCGGAGGAGGCGCACAGGCACAGGAGCTGCAGGGCAGCCTGGGACGCGAGATCCTGCTTGGTCAGGTGTTCCTCCGCCAGCGCACTCTTCGCGCCTGCCGGACGAATTGCAGAGCCTCTTTACTGCTCGCACCTGCTGCACCCTCGCGATTCGCCACCATCCCAGCATGCCTGGCCCTGCTGGTGCGGCAGCCCGCCGGCCTGGGCCGTACCTGTGCCATACTGCGCGTCGCTGCTGTTGCTGCCGGCCCCGCTGTCCGTGCCGCAGCTGGTCTGTGCCTCGCTGGCGTCGTCAAACAGGTCGATCTCTGCCGGGCCGCCCGGCTCGCCGGCCGCGTGCTCCGCCTCGCACGCCACGCCACCTCGCTGCCCCGGGCTCATCAGCTGCGGTTCAGGAACCCGTGAGAACTGCGCAGTGACCACTACCACACTTCTACTGAACATCACCTGAACATGCCAAACGTGCCTAGGGGGTCTGAAGCATATTCCCACAGTGGACCAAGCAGACGGGGAATCTGCACTGTTCTGTACAATCTTTAGTTCCCCAAGGGTCTGACAGTGCTGGATCTGTGCAGATCTGTTTTACCAGATATGTCAACTGAGAACAACGTCTCATTTACAGTGAGGACCTGGAGACCCATTGACCCAGCCGGTCACAACCGGAGTGATGTTCCTGCTCAAGGGTACCAAAGCAACAGTGACCTGCAGGAATTCAAACTCATTGCTTTGAATGACCCTTTGGTCTGGGCTCTTCAGTATCAAGTAGACACAGAATACACATAGTACACACACTGTATACTCAGGGAATAAACTGAGTGTTAGCAGACACGTTTGCTACCGGTGTGACATTTGATGCAAAAGAAAGTGAGTAAATATCTTATTTGCAGATGAATGGAGCAGCACATCAGTGACAATTCAGCATCCACATGGTTCCCCAGAACAAGCGTACTTGAGCTCACCAGCACTTTATAGACCTCTGCCAGTTCATTCAGCAGCCTGGATGGCAGAATCTTCAGGAAAAGGCGCCATGAAAGCAGGCTCAAACTGTCCTGCAAAAGCAAAAAATCCAAGAGTCTCGTTTCCAGCATAAAACTCAACTCCGCCCTTTTGCTTTGTTAAATTATCAATCAAGAGACCTCAATTATACTTGTTAACTCCACAAATAAGACTGAAATATAAAATAACCTATTAATTAACTGTTAAATATTTTAAATATTAATTACATATTAATAACCTGTTAATTAACTTTCAGACCAGGCAAGCGATAGCTTTGAAAACTTAACTTACCGAGCTCCCCCAACGACCAGTGCAGGGAACTAACCTCTTACCCTTGTTGTTACAGAAATAAGAAGTTCTGGATCCCGAGATGAAGTTAAACAGATGAGTTTATTGCATGCAAGGAACAATAAAACTGAAGTCCTGTTCCCGCAAGGAACAGCAAGTATTGTTCAAAGTGCCGGTACAAACTTTTAGTTTATATAGCCCTTTCCTGCCGCTTCTGACGTAGCTCATTATTATGGTAATAGCCTTTGCTGCCACTTCTGACGAAGCTCAGTAATATGGTAATGGGGAGGGGTCACGGTGTTTGGCGAGTTCACATCCTTTTGGCCAAATGGTCAGGGTTTTAGGTTACTCTACCTTCCTAGCTTGCATATGGAATCCTTATCAGTTCTGCCATAAACTCCAGCCTGTTGCTTAGAAGTCCAGTCTTCATGCAGAAAGGACTTAGTTAACACATCTTGTATCTTACTTCACCCTCTAGATTTCCCAACAGTTTTAAAGCAGTGCGGTACCTTCTCCTGCCTCCTGAGACAGGTCAAGAGTTGTTCCACAACGGATCTGATGGCGGCGAAGACTCGGTCGTCTGGGATCTTGCTCCTCTCTGTGGAGAAGAACTCACTCACCTGCTGGGCCAGAGACTGCGGGGTGAAGGAACAGTCAGGGGAATTAGGTTCTCGGAAAAACACTGAACCTCCAAAACTGAAATTCAAACGTCACTGTGAAGTAAGAAAACCAACACAATATAAACACAAACATCTTTCCAGCGTTTAGAAAACCATGAGACCCAATCAGGGTCAGAGGATCTGATAGAGGCGCTGATGAATTCACCTGGGCTTTCTGGAAGAGCGCAGTTTGGCAGACCTCCTCTTCACTGAGGAACTGTATGTGGACGTAGCCTCCCAGGACCCCTGTCAGAAGACTCATGCAGCGAATCAGACACTCTGGAGGCGTGGTCAGAGACTGGAACGGCACAGACAGGACAGTCCTGAAACCCACCTGTCAGCTCTCCTACAGGACGAACTCGACAGAGAGAATCAGGTGTTCTTTTCTGAAGGTTTTAAAGGAGGCGAGAAGGACACGTGCCACATCTCTGCGGTCTGTGTCTGCAGGTATAGTAAAATTTTCAATTTCAGAATGGCATTTCTAGCTCAAAGGTTTTTAATAGTCTTCTAGAGTTTTCCCATTCAAACAAATCAGGTCTCTGGCCATGCAGGGCTCCTTGACGTACTCTCCATAAACTAGGGTGCTGTACCCCCTCACACACACCCACCCCCTCACACACTCACACACACACTCGCACGCACACAAAGTAGCACACAAAGGAGCACACACTTGCACTCACATCTGGAGAGTAGCAGTCGAGCAGGTGGTCAGCCACAGACATGAGGTCCCTCTCCACTCTCTCCCTCACAGGCTGCAGGACAGTGTGGGGACCCCGGGCGGAGTCTTTGCTGCAGGACTGCGCCCCCGAAATCACATGGTTGGGCATTTCATCAAACGTGCTCTGCAGATACAGGCTCTCAATTTCCACAAGGGCATCCTCCTCGTCCGATACTGACCGCTCCTGGGGGAGGCTTGAAATGAAAAAAGCGCCATATTGTCAAAGCAATGCAACAGGTGCTATGGAAGAAGTATTCCTTTTAGACGTTCATTCAGAAGAAGTTATTCCGAATGCATCAAACTAGAACTTGATGGGACAGTTTCTCAAATTGAAATCCTTATGAGCCGAAAGTCGTCGGTGCTGGAGAAAAGATCAGTGGCTGAAGTTCAATACTAGGACAACGCTCAGTGAGGTGTCGGTTTGGGGAGAGGGAATCTGAATTTACTGACCTGTCCCAGGAGAGAGGGGCCTGAAGAAAGTCCATTCCAGACCTGGAGTCTTTCAGCATCAGAGCCACCAGGATTCTGGGAACAAGCTGGTGTGGGAAGTCCCTGTGGGTCACAAAGGAACAACTGGTTAGGAACCAGTCCAGTGATGAGCAAGCAAACACATTCCTGGGCCTAAAGGACTGTCATACACCGACAGGCAGAAAGAATGTAGTCTTAAACACCTAAGATTGTGCAGCAACCTGATCTAAGTACTCAAGATCCTCAACAGTCATGGTGGATTTCTTCAGTATCAAGAGCGAAACTTGAATTAGAAAATGTGTGGAAATACATTTAAAACCCGAGAACAGGGGGTAACTTGTTGTGCCTGAAGCTGGAAGCCCAGCAAGCTACTCGCGGCCAGACTAGCTGAATGGACATCCTGATCATGAGTGATCTTTCCCGCGATCTGACATCAACAAGAACGACCCTCCTTTATCACTCCCACTCCAACCCGCAGTGTCACGGGAGCGAGGGTGAGAGAGGGAGTCTTCCTGAGGCGCCTCACCTGCAGACGACCAGGTGTGGCTTGGAGCTCTCCTCACCCTCCTCGCTCAGCTCGTACAGCAACAGCCACCTGGCGATCGCCTCCCTGGGGCTGGGCGGCCCGCTGCCCTCGTCCGCCGCGGCGCAGTGCAGGCCCGCGTCCAGGCGCTCGGGGACGATGCACTGCAGCAGCACCTGCGACAGGCACTGGGCCGCCGCGCTGCAGGAAGAGCTCATGTCACGGTCAGCCGCGAAACCACACAGGACTGGCCACCAGAACTACTGGCGATGTGCTGCGCAGACATGCAGGCATGCCTCTGGGACTGTGGACAGGAAGCACTTTACACAAAGAGCACAGGTGTGTGGAGCAAGCAGCCCCAGCCATGTTTCCACAGCAACATCCAGAGCATCTTTTAGTAAACAGCGAGATAAGATCCTGAGATCAATCCAACAACCAGTAGGCGAGGAAGAGGAGTCAACTGGAGCCCTCCTTCATAACTCTCCTTGCACTCTTACTGCAGTTGAATAAGGCTTCAGAGAAACTCACTTACAGCATGGAACTCACACTGCCAGTGTTATACGAATCGCACAGCCCTGGCTTCCCTTGTTTGTGTTGCAGCAACACCGCTCCACTGTAAGTCTTACTTTTCGGAACTGATTGTGAAGCTCAATATATGCCTCTTTGCTAAGAAACAGACAGCTGAGAACGTTACTCCAGTGAAGTGGCAATAAAACATGGATACAACCTACTGTGAATCTGTAACTAAAACGCACAAACGGCCCCGGAACAGACGGTGCAGCAGCGAATCAGCGCTCACTCACGGGGAGGGCTTGCAGGCCGAGCCGGAGAACACCCTCCACAGCTCCTTGTCGGCCGGCGCCAGGGCTGCTCGGACGATGGCGTGCAGCAGCCCGAGGGACAGCGCCTCCGCCTGCGGCGAGCTGACGCCCTGCAGGGCCAGAGCCCACAGCCGGCTCCACAGCTTCCGCAGCTCGGGCCCGGGGCGCAGGGCCCGGCAGGCCGCCGCCGCCGCCCGCAGGCAGCGCATCACGTACAGACTCCTCTCCCCTCGCCTCTGCTGCTGCAGCAGCTGGCACAGCGCCGACAGGAGGGGCACCAGCTCCCGGCCCGGCAGGATGGACGGGTACTTGGAGAGCAGCACCTCCGTGATCTGCAACCTGGGCGGCAAAGGGCACCGGTGTAAGAAAGCCTGGGAAGCACTGTCACCGCCACATGCAGGCAGCACCCCCAGTTACAGCCCTGAGCGCGCATCGCACACAAGACAAGACACAAGGCAGTGTGAACCAGCACCATTAAATCTGCCTTCCAGAGGAGGCGTTCCTGAGCTACAGGGAGAGGCGGAGCTACAGGTCTGTGTCTTGTCCCCAGTCCACTACTGCTCTCACAAACTCCGAACCCCTCCACAGAGCCGCTTCCCACAAAGCTCATCCCGGCTCCGGTCGTCTCACCAGGGAATGACGTTGAAGTCGCTGTGAGAGGGCTGCAGGCGCTCGCGGACGATCTCCCAGCCGAGCTCGATGCGCCTGCGCTTGCTGGGAGCTCCTCCCTCCAGCTGCGTCACATCCAGGTGCGACTGGGTCACCTCCAGCACCTGGGTGTCGTGGGTGAAGAGCTACGGAGCGAACACGTAAAAGGAGTGTGGCATTGTGGGTAGGAACCCGCCAAGGTTCAGCTAAATAAAGTCTGGTTGACTGGACAATGGAGTGTAGACGGAGCAGGCAAGGCTCAGGCCTGGATTAAATGAACTACATCTTCAACCCAACCACCAGCCTAAGAACAAAAGACTCAGAACCCGATGTCTGATTTCCAAACCCCATTTGCAAACAGCATGCCGCCACCAGACAGCGGGTTTGTAGTCTGCAACCAGAAGGAGGGCTGAGCCAGTAGTTCAATCCAGGCCTCGCTCTGTGCACCGACAGTCTGGGATGTTCTGCTGTATTTAGAAGACAGCACCACTTCCTTCACAGCAGGCAGAAACGTCAGCGGCCGTACCTGCTGGCAGACGTCAGCAGTCAGCTCGATGAGGTTTTCCTTCACGGCAACGTGGCGCGATCCTGTGGAGTACTTCCCTCGGCTGCCGATCTGGCCAATCTCGCTCACCAGGGCATCGTACAGACTGTAGAGGAGACTCTGCCACTTCGCCCAATCCTCCGCGTGGGCACCTGTGCCAGAGGAGGGTTCAGTGAAGGGGGCGAAGCAGGAGTCCTGTCTAGTGTCTGCTGGTTCTGAGGTAGCGATGCTGTCCCCTCCCACTCCCACTCGCTCAGCTGTTCACAGCACCTGAAAGCTCGCAGTCCACTGCTTTGGCTGTGACAAAGATCCTGATGCCAATACATTGTGAAACTGCGGCTGAAGCTAAAATAAATATCAAATCCATTGCAGGCTCATCAAAGAGACAGGCCAATACTATACACACACCCTCTTTCATATCATACCCAGCGTGGCCTCTTATTGGAACAGCTTATTGGAGATCCCACTCAGGGCACACGAGTCTCTCCGGGACTCTGCAGCACCTGAGCTCCTGCCGTCCTCACAGTCAGAGCGTTCCAGCCTGGCCTTTAAAGGTTCAAATTTCATGAAAGCCCTCTAAATATACCAGGACATGAAGCTGAGAGTAGCTTACGTTAAAGTTTAAGAGTAAAACTAAATGTGCAGAAACAAAGCAGAAGGTAACTGGAAATCTGCTTGGACTGGTGGGCCACGGCCTGGTCTCACCTGTGGCCTGCGTCTTGGCTCCCTTCGGATGGTGGACGCGCAGCTGCAGGTGGAAGAACCTCACGATCTCCTCCTTCAGCAGGTCCTGCGGCCGCCGCTGGGCCCAGACGCACAGGACAGAGGGCAGGAGCTCCTCCCCCAGCCCGCAGACCCGCGTGCGGCAGTTCACGGCCGAGGCCCTCAGGAAGATGTTCAGAGCAGCCAGCAGGTGCTCCAGGACAGCCAGGTACTTCTCCCTCCTGCACGAGGCACAGAACACACGCTCAGACGTCACGGACCGCAGGCAGGGCTCTCCTCGGAGCAGCGAGGTGCGGTACCTGGCGTTCAGCAGCGCTCGGGAGAAGAACTTGAAGAGCTTGTGCACCAGCCCCTCTGTCTGCAGGCAGCAGCCCCTCACCAGGGTGTGGATGATCCTGCTCACCAGCACGCGGTTGATGGCACTGGAGCTGCTGTTGTAGAAACCACAATACACCTCCAGCAGCTCTGGACAGGAGAACACAGGGAATCTGCACTTCAACACGGCACAGCAGTTCTATTTCATTGTTAATCTTTCCAAGTACAGACTCTAATTCCACCCTGACTGCTGAGCTGAAGTCGGAATGGGGAATATATTAGTCTGGGATCACACACTTAATGGAGTGGAGCTCAGGTGCTGGTTAAGGCACCTACCAGCCCACTGATGCTGTGTGACCTCACACCAGTACTTGCGGACAGACAGGATGTCCTTCAGCAGGATGCTGCTGTAGTCCTCTCCATAGGCACTGCAGGAGAAGGAGCTCCTGAGGACGCCCACCAGGTGAGCCAGGAGGTCCGTGCACTTCAGGCGGGGGCCTCCTGCGAAAGGCAATCGCTCCAATGTGTGAACAACGGGCAGGGAAAGGAGGCAGGAGATTAAGCAAGCGGTCAATGAGCTGCCAAAGATCTGTGTTGACTTAAAACATGGTCACTTACTTTTGTTTGCACATCTGATGAAAAATTTGAGCAAGCTGCTGACTTCCTGCATTTTTTTGTGCCTGTTTGCTTGTGTGGTGGCGGACACATTGGCCTTCCCAGTCTGCAGCGCCTCCGTTTCTCTCTCCACGTACCGGCGCAGAACCCTTCAGGGACGAGAGCCGCTGCTTTGTCAGATTCGCCTGGGCCGCAGTTAATTAAAGCATCCAATTTCTAAACCGCACGTCCGGCAGGGGCTTCTTAAACACCCCTTTCGCTGCAGATGTCACTACGCTCGGCCAGACCGCTGAAATCGCAACCCGCTCACACGACTGAGAGCCTGGTGGTAAAAACGGGGGAGCTGGGCTTTTGTTTTCTGACAAGTTCAGAATACTACACACTGGCCGTCACTCGTGGGTTTACCATTGTCTCCTGCAAGGCCAGCAGAGGCGCCATCCTGCTTGTGCTGCTCTGCTACAGAGCAGGTAAGACCCTGCAGCTGCCCTGGCAGTACAGTGCAAGAACACAGGAGCACAGCGCACTGGGGCTTCTACGCGAGCCAGTGAGAGCTGCGGCTTGTGCAAGAGGCTTTACGTGCATCTTCGCCATTTTACAAGGCATTCCCCCTCAGCTACAAACAGAGCACCTCCAGGACTCCCTGTGAGCACTGTTCCAGACAGGAGCACTGCTGGGCTGCGTGTGTGTATAAACCAAATCGACGAAAGGGTGGGTGCACAGCACAGTTAGGCTGTGTGACAGAAAATCCAAAACAAGGCTTCACAACTAACACACAGGAAACATCCTCAGTGACTAATGCGACCTGGAGCAGACCGCCATGAACTCATCACACACGGTCATTCATTCGGGCTCATTTTAAGAGCACCTACCCAAAAACACCATCCCAGGTGAGCTGTTTGGAACCCTTCGCTGCTCTTGAAGAACTGGCTCTGTCCAGGGCCTCAACTGTCTCAGGAGACACGATGAGCCGCTTAAATTTATCCGCTTCTTTCTGCAAAATAACATTGACAGGTGGACTCCTAAGAACATTCTGCTAGTGGCAACTGATTGTTTAATCTACAGCTGTTTAATGCATCAAATCCACAGTATTGTCAAAACACTCATTATGTCAGGGAAAATGCTTCATAGGAATGCCAAAGGTTACTCACTTAAAAACATATAAATGTATGAATGAAAGAAAGCTTTTTACATTCTCAGACTTTTTCAGCCTTCTCATTAACCTTTGAACCTTTGAACATCAGCACTGAAGTGATCTGGTCACTCCTGAGCGACACACGCCCCTGTCCTGCACAGAGGTGAACGCATCTACCTTCCTCTCCGTGGCCTTGTCGCTCTCCAGCCCACGGCAGCACATCAGGAGCTCATGCAGCAACAGGCTCATGTTGTCCTCAGGGTGGCGCTGCACTGGGGGCCTGCAGAGGCAGACAGGGGAATCGATGTCGAGTACTGACGCCGCACTGACAGTGCAGGAGCACAGAATCGAACTGGAGAAGCGTGTGTGGGGGGCGGGTTGCAGACACAGGCCTGTTTTGATTCATTACACCCCTTCAAAGTATGCCTTCTGATCACAAACACAAACGATTCTATACATAAATCATTCCATTAATAAGGGTTTCACATTAATGCAGTTTAAACGTTTTTGGTTTCGTTTTTTAAAGTGCCCAACCCCCCATCCCACTGAGCTGTAGGGAGCAGTCCCTGAGATATTGCTAAGATCTACAGCGCACACGGGCGATGAGAGGACCACATTGCCGTCTGATGACCTTCCACACCAGCCGGACGGAGAACGCAGTATTACAGCAGGAGTAGCACTGCTTCAGGTGCTTCAAGTCCAGGAGTCCCCGTCTGCCTTCAGAATAGATCGGCGATGACCGTGCTAGGTGTACACGTTAAACAATCACAAGCGAGCTACACACACTTGTTTAGATCTGCACGGTATTACCAAAAACATACGATCAAGATCCAGACTTTAAAGTAAAGTAAGCTAACTATGCAGTCTGATTAAAATTGACGTCAAATCATCTTAAACTACTAAATGATTCCCCGCATCTAAAAATCGCTGGGAACTGGGTACCTAGTCACATACCTCCTTATATAGCTTTCTTTATTTCACGACAGCGCCGTGTTCTGACGTTCACTTAAACTAAATCCCAAGTGCTGTCCACTGTAAAGACAGCACAGCACGCACAGCAATACAAACACAAACCGCGCCTCCCCAACTTCAACTTCATTTCCGGGTCGTCGCGAAGACGGGCGGTTCCGCTAGCCAATCACGGCCACAGTTCCTGAGATAGCTCCGCCTCCCCAGTCCCAGCGAGGCAGGGGGTCTCTGGTGCAGGAGCTGCAGACTGGAGCTTTAAACGCACTGCCACTGAATTTTTAATCCCGTTGAAAAAAATACAGAATATCATATCATTTGTCATAAATTTAATCATGACACTTACATAAAATTAAACGGTCTGGGAAGAGACCCCCATTTGAACAGTTCAAAACAGAGCATGTCTCCAGACGTTTTGCTATAAGCGTAAGAATATACAATCTGTGCGTACCTTGATTTATCTCATTTAATTATTTTGTAAAATGCAGCTGTGTTATGTACCCCTGACGATGTTATGTATATAAACTCTTGTCTGTATTGTATATATTATTGTTGCAATAAAATTTTTGATAAAAACATTTCCACTGACAGAATATCTGTTTGGACCTCTGATTTATTTTATGCCAGTTTCCATTGTTACGCACAAATAACGTTTTATATAATATTCTGAACCCAAGAGCGCTACTATATGTTAATACATTATCCGCCATGTAACCCTGTCTCGCGTACTGACATTGACTGACCGAACACCCGAACTACATTTCCCATGCAGCCTTTTAGGCGAATACTTCCGGGTGAAACGTGCTGAATTTCCGCGCTTTTTCTGCGGGTGGGTGTTATTGGGAGTTGTGTTCAGCTGAGCTGAGAAAAAGTATAACGGCTCAAATGTGTGCTGTTCGGTTTTCTTTCATGACTGTGCGTTTGAGGGCCAGTTGAAAAGGCTTCACAACAGCCATGTTGCTACCATCTGACATTGCGAGGCTGGTTTTGGGTAAGTTGGAGGGGTCGCAGCGGGGTCTGTTGCGGGACACAGGCGTGTAGCCGGGGAGTTTGCTCTGCGGTCGCAGCTGAGAGCTGTGTTGATCACAAAGGGGCCCTGCAACACGTACCAGAGCCTGTATCTGGGGGACAAGAGCATGGTTAGCTAAAGAGCGTGTCTTTCACTGTGTAGATATCAGAAAGCACTGCATATAATATTTGATGCATGATATCGATATCGATACCACTGGGTGTAAGCTGTCTGAAACAACGGTGGTCGGAGTACTACCACCTAAAATACTAAATTACACACCAGGTACGTGTTAATGTCAAATTCCATAACGACTGTGACGAAATTATTAATACTGGGGAAAAATGTCCAGTACATCAGATGTCAGATTTTGATAGTATTCCAGTGGCGTTTATGACCTTGCCAATATTTCAATTGCAAGGACGTTATCAGAAATCAGTCATGTCCGAACAATTGTGCATAATTCGCTTATTGACAAAGGATGTTTATTTTTGGATGCATGCCCTGGTGAGTTGATATTGCTTTGAAATTCCAGTAAATGAAGTAAACCGAGTGCTTGTTTGTTCTGGGGTGCGCCAAGGGTATCTCCAACAGGAGCGCCTGACTGCCACTTGCCGGGCGTTCATCAGCGAGAGTCCGGACCTGAAGGAGTACGCGGAGCACAGCACCGAGGACGGAGCGATTCCTGCCTGCGTGTTTGTGAGTGCTGTCCGATCTCAGCAGAGCCCCTCGCCCCTGTACGCTGTAATGGAAAGACTTGTGGAAATTCGTCATCTTATGGCATGCACATGCAAAATTTCACTCTTTATTCTCTGCGAAAGTCTCACCGTAACTAAAGCCCTCATTAGCTGTCTGAATGAAATAGCTTGCGTTTCATGTGCTAGATTTGTTTTCATGAAAACAGCATACACAGTGTGTTAGACATCTCTAATCTGAGCAGTGTGCTCAGATTTATCCTATATTTCCCTACGTTCTGCTTTATCATGTTGTTTTGTCTTTGCAGTCTTTGTTTGGGAAAAACCTGAACACCATTCTGAATGAATACGTTGCCATTAAAGCAAAAGGCAAGTACTGGAGGTTTTAAAATAACTTCAGACTCAGAGCTTCATATGTTCATGTTTTGTTAATATACAACTGTTTTTTTTTTGTCAAGAATGCAGCCAGGAGTCACAGGTACCTGCTATGATGACGTCGCTCTGGAGGAAATTAGATTTCACTCTGAATCAGATCAGGTAAAAGGAAACTTTAACTGGATTTCTGGGGGTGGGGTAAATGGAGCCTCTTGTTTCAGGATATGCAACCATAAGAACTTGCTCCTGGAGACTGTCGCAGCAGCGGTGTTTTTACCAGAGCTTCAGAATGGAAGAAAATCTTGTAGATAAACTGTCATGAGCTCCTGACATCATGCAAACAATTTCTTGTGTCATCTGTGTTATGAAAAAACTACTATGGCTCAGGAACCAGTCCAGGGTAGAGTAACCATATACATTGCTGGACCAGCGTACACCCTACACAGACAGACTAGAACTGAAGCTTTGTAGGCTTCAACAGAAAGGCATTGACAAACCCATCCCAGTGGAATTCTTCTGAACAGAGTGACGCATTAACCAGAGGACGTAGGTTGAAACTACATTTAAAACTAGGAACCGGGGGTCTGTCATAAGTATCCCATTTCTGAAGAAATGAAATATTATAATTTGACACATTCCAAATTTTGCAGGACTGTCAGATATTATCTTGGCATGAGAATAGTGAAATGTAAAATGAATAAAGAT